TTCTTCTTCGGAATGCAATGGCAAAGCTGGGGCTGGTGATTTACGTATTTTGCCGCATAGTTTAGCTAGTTGGCCACCTTCGTGCTTCTTCACAAAAATTGGCCTACCATCAACCACACCATTACATAACACCCGTGTGAGTGCTAACAGATCGGACCTGAAATATTTGTAAAGCTACCAAATGAAGAAATGATCCTGAAACTACATATCACTTTTAGTAAATAAAATACAGCGCCTCTCCTCCCAATTCCCTTCATAATACAGGACTACCAGCGTTAAAAGTGAGAATATATGCAATATGTGTTTGAATATACAAAGAAATGCGACCTCTGCTTGACCAGATCAACTTTGTTAAGCACCAAAGTTGATGGGATTTGCCGATGACGGTGCAGCATATGAAGAACTCGATGCAGGATATAATCCGTACAAATTGTGGCATCATGCACCACCAGTATATGCTCCGCTTGTTCCACTGCATGTTCCGGATCTAAAAAAATCTGTTTTATGCGGTTGGGGCGACACATTCGTATTGCAACCCTTTACACAGGACGTATTTGTTGTCCAAATCCAGTTAGATAAAAAACTACAGCTTCATTCACCAAAAAATTTTTGCTGATAACAGGACGTTCTCAAATAAGCTGATTGCAGCATGATTGTAGTATACAAGTAATATTAAAAATTTACATAGAGCAAAAATAGAACGAACAATGTGTAGATGAATGTAGCAATAAAGCCTGGTGTGGAAAAAATAAGTACGAAAGAGCTAAGACGTTTCGGTCCATCAAGTCATATACGTCTTAGCTCAACACCGCGACTAGACTTCGTCAGTATGACGGTCGTGGTGTTCAGAGACGAGAAGAGAGAAAAAAAGGAATGGAACGCAGGAAGAAGAAGAGAAGAAGAAGAAAATAGGAAAGGGAAGGTTTTTTTAAAAATATATCAAATTTAGAACAGCTGAAAAAGATTAAAAAGTTGTAATATAAAAGTGGAAAAGTATCGAGAGGAGGAAGTAGCAATATGAAACGAACGTTAACGCGACGTACCGTGCATGTTGGGTGGTACAATCATTTTAGAAGAGCGTTTATCAGATTTTGACAAGGACCACGGTAGGAGGGAAATACTTAGAGAGCTGGTATGTATTTTTGCGTACAAATGTGTTGACTAGACGATTATTGTTGTGAGAAGAAAATCCTTTGTGGGAGTAGTGGAGGAAAAGACGATGAGCGGATGTGATAAATCCTTGATAAGTGGATTCGATAACTAATTATCTATTTAGCTGACTGTAAACAATACTGTTGTGGACAGAGGAGTGTAAATTGCCGCGAAGAGAGGAGTATTTAATGATAGAAAAGGTGAAAAGATCGGTCTTGCAGTAAACTGAAGAAGCGATGCGAGCGTTGCTGTCTATGGAAAGGATCAAGTCTAAATAGTTGACGAGTAACTTCTCAAACCATCTCTGAAACCGAAAATTAACACAGCTTCAAATCCAAAGCGCTTAGCTCTGAGTATTCGTATATAAATCCCTTTGCTGCGGGTTCTCGCACAAAAAAAGCGAAAAAGCAGTCACAGGTAAACTCAGCTGCAACTACGACACCAGCATGCTATTTCGTCATCATGCATGAACCCCTAAAAGCTTTGTACGATCAAATGGCTTGCAAAGAATAGTTTCTTAGGTTCATTTCAATCAGCGGAAAACGACATTTCTGTAAAAACTTCTGGTCTTCAGGCTCGCAACAAACAAATTCTTGGATTAATACACTAAAAGTCTGGGCCGCTCAAACCGCCCAAATTATGCAACTATTTTATCTTAGCTGAACATAGCTGATGCTGGTAACTCGGATGCGCAATAATCTACGCTTACTCAATCGCTTCAGTAGAGCAAATGCTGGTACTCCTGGGCGGAATAATTTTGATGCACAAGCGAAACACAGTTTTATGAGACCTCAAATCCAGCTTACTAAACCACAGGTGCAACAAACACATAACACTATGCAATATCATTCTAACAGTGTGTCTCACGTACCCAACGTTCCAAACCTCCCCGCTTCCAATTTCATTAGAGAAATCTCTGAACATGTCCAGGAGAAGCGAAAGTGCCAGGGGTCGGGAAAGGCAGAGGAATGACGAGATAAAGCAAAAAGACGGGGTGAGAAGCGAAGACAAGGAAAAAAGTGCTGGATAGTGTTTAAAAAATAAGTGTGCGGGGTTCCCACTGGATTAATTTAGATGAAGGTGGACGGTACAGCAAAGACTATTAATCAAATTAGCAATCCTTTTTTTTAAAATGGTTTTGTCTTTTGATTGAGGAAGCAGCACAGGCTGAAATTAATTGACAAAGTAAGTTTGAAATTAATTGGGAGCTTCA